CACTCTTGCTGTACTTCTCAAATCAACCATAGATTGCTTTATATCGGGGCAATATATATGTAGCTTCTCTACTGATTAGCAAATACTTACAGGGTAGGTCCCTGACTTGCACATTTTTGCATTTCCCTTGGCTGTTTTCATAGGTATTTACAAAAAGTTGATCTAATGAATGTTATCAGTGTCTGACAGTCATGTTCAGTTAAGAAAAAACTTGAAACCAATATCAATTGGACTAAATTAAAAAGAAAACTTTTAATTATTCAGAACAGAGGTTATTTGATGGAAAGGGACTGCTGCATTTCGCTTACATCTGTTATTATTGTGGGCTTTCCATTTGTGGTTGATAATGCACTGAGTCAATGCCTGTCAGGTAATGCCTCTTGTGTGTGAGTCATTATTACAATAATTAATAACAATGGCAGTTTAGTTGATAGGAACTTGGCAATGTGTGTATTCTTATCTTTAAAGCTCCAAATGGTTTGGAATTTGGCTCTTTGTGAAAGCATTTAATAGGAAAGTGTGTGTTTAGAATCTGTTCCCAGCTCAAAGACTGACCCTTATCTCTAAAGCCCTTAATGAGAAAGCACCTGACAAATTGACTGGCACACTCCACTCCTTCACATAATTTCCCTTCCTGCCAAATGAGTTTCTTTCAGTCTCTGCTCTTAACTTAGAAACCATTGAATGATGAACAGTCTGAGGCCAATGTCTCAAGCTTCAGAAAGCACTCATCAAAAGGTGATTTAGCAAAGAAAATTAATTTATTGAAAATTGGAAAATCAGTGTTTTTTCTCATTAAGTCAATTAGTTATTTGCTGAGATTTACTTGTCTGAATTGACTGATAGTTTTAGTACTCAGCAGTTACTTCAAGAGAATCTTCAGGATGACCTCATAAAGTTTATTGAAATATAATAGTATAGAAAGCAATGCAAATAAACAAAAACAAATGTGTTATCAATCTTAATAAGTATTATTTAAATCTACTGATAAAGCTCCTGGAGTTTGTTATTTATTTATTAACTTAAGTATTCAATGATTACCTCAGATAGGATTAACATTATAACATAAATGTAAAAAATGCAAATGAAAATAACTGAGCTATTTTGATTGAAATTAAACACAAAAATAAAAGCAAAGTTTTTATGTGAAAAGACATCATCAAAATGAAGCTAGGAAAAAATGGAATAACTGACACCACTGTCTTTCTTAAGAGAACTAAATAATGGTTCATTGTGTTGCATACATATTGCTGTTGTGGGAGATGGTGATTTAAAATGATGTGGAAATTTAAGACATTTTATGCAATTTTTAAAGCGTGTTCAAGATATTTAATATTTAAATTCTCAAAATATGCTTAGTTAATGGGTTAAGAGATTAATGGTAAATCAAGAATTAATAATGTGAGACAGGACTACCCTTTCAAGAAGTTTGACTGAAAAGAATGAGATCACAAAATAAAAGAAAAAACAGATACTCCCTTTCTCCACCTTTTTACTCTATCCAGACCCTCAACAGATTGGATGATTCCCATCCACAAAGCAAACAGCAACCTAATTTACTAAAGTCACTGATCCAAATGGTAATCCCATTCATCTGTAAACTCCTACAAACAAACACAACAAGAAATCATGATTAACCAGATAATTGGACATCCTGTGAACCAGCCAAGCTGACGAATCAAATTCTCCTTTATACCTTCTCTGTTTCATCTTTCTCTTAGGTGTTTATCATGACCTGACATAAAAAAGAATGTAAACTTTATGAGAGTCACAACTTTGTTTTGTCCACTGCTGTATCCTGATTGCTTAGAATGTCACCTGTCTTATAACACATGCATAAATATATGCTCACCGTAAACTCTCAGAAATTAAAACCCCTTTACACACAGTCTCCTTCATAAGTAGGGATCCATTTTAATTCTGTTAAGTTCTTCAAATCTTCCTGAATCCTAAATGAGATTAGAAAATAAAGGAAACTTTAAAAACAAAATGAAAAATCTCATAGAGCAAGCTTGATTGTTTTGATAAGCTGAAAAAAAAATAGTGCCACTAATGAGGAAGAAACTCAAAATTAGGAGACAGTAGTAATTGATTAGAGTAGAATCATTAATTTTAAAAAAATAGATAAATGGCTTTTGAATAACGTGACAATTCCTTAACCTAGAGACTAGAAAGAAGAGGAAAAGGTGGGTGGATACTTTGAATCTCAGTGGAGATTAAGTGCTTCAAGAGGAGTGAAGATTTAAAATACAAAGTCCAGTAAAGTGAAAAGGACAAATAAGGGTTAATTAATCTGTTGCTTAGCAGGATTGTTGGGGCACTAATTGTTGGAGCACTAATATATATATATATGTGTTTTTATGATCTTTTGTCATGTTCAGCAATTTGGGTATAATGTATAGTGACTTATTGTGATAAGAATTTTCCTTAGATTATATAGTCTTAACAAATAGCTTGTGTAATAACTACACTTATTTCCACTGTACCAATTAGAAATCTGAGCCTTTGGTTAAGGAATTTGCCAAATGTATAGAGCTGGTGAGCGTTAAAACCAGTATTTATTTGGCATAGAGACTGTGCTTGTACTGGGTTGCTTAATTTTAGAGATATATTTCTTTCTTTTTTTAAAGATTTATTTTATTTATTTGAATGACAGAGTTACAGAGAGAGGTAGAGACAGAGAGAGAGGTCTTCCATCCGCTGGTTCACTCCACAGATGGCCACAAAGGCTGCAGCTGTGCTGATCCGAAGCCAGGAGCCAGGAGCTTCTTCCAGGTCTCCTACGTGGGTGCAGGGGCCCAAAGACTTGGGCCATCTTCTACTGATATCCCAGGCCATAACAGAGAGCTGGATTGGAAGAGGAGCAGCCAGGACTAGAACTGGCACCCGTATGGGGTGCTGGACTTCAGGCCAGGTCTTTAACCCACTGTGACACAGCGCCGGCCCTGAGATATATTTCTTTAAATCAGGAACTTGTGTGGTTAAAAGTAAAACAAGAGGGTTCAGTAAGGCAAGGATATTGAACTATTTTATTGTGTTCATGGTTCCTCTGAACAACCATATAGCACAGGATGAATAAGGATTTCAGACCAGTGAGGAAGGATGATTCAGGAGATGATAGGCAGAGGACAAGATGCAGGGGATTTCTGGAGCACTCCATTTCTGAGTTGTGACAGGGTTCAAATATTGGCCATTGGTATGAGTAGCCAGAGTGGGTGATGTACAGGAGAAATGAAGGGATCAGGAAGATTTGAAGAACTTAACAGAATTATAATGGATCCTACTTATGAAAGAGGCTGTGTGTTAAGGGATTTTAATTCCTGAGAGTTTACAGTGGACGTGTATTTATGTAGGTGTTATAACACAGGTGCCACTCTAGGCTATTAGGATATAGCAGTGGACAAAAAAAGCTGTCACTCTAATGAAGTTTACACTCAATTTTCTTTATGTCAGGTCATGATAAATGCCTAAGAGAGAGATGAAACAGAGAAGATGTAATGGAAAATTTCATTTGTCAGCTTGGCTGGATGTCCAAATATCTGGTTAATCGTGATTTCTGGTTGTGTTTGTTTGTAGGAGTTTACAGATGAATGGGATTTGTGGGGAGCAACTCGGACTAGACTAAGTTACTGGAATTAAGACTTATTCTATGCATCTGCTCTCCCACAATATGGCGCTGGGAGAGGAGTAAAAACAACTTTTACACAGCTGCCTCCAGTTCGATCAATAACCTGCAGGAGCTGATCCTGCTCCTGATTGGAGGAGAGCAGCGTACTCGGCGTGTGGGTAGCAGAGTTGGGATTGGTGGAAGAGGACTATAAAGGAGGAGAGAGACAACATGCACCGGGAACATCTAAGGGGAACATCTGAGGGAACACCTGTGCAGCCCCCGAGAGAGCCGGCCGGCGGTGTGCCGCTCCCCTGCAGAAGTGGGGAATGTGGCAGGGGGAACTGCCCTTCCACGGAGGTGGAAGGGTCGGCAGCCAACCCGGGAAGAACCAGCAGCAAACCCGGGGAGGGCCGAGCAGACAAAAGAACAGCGCAGGGTCCTGTGTCGCTCCTCCGCGAAGAGGGGGAGCGACAGGATTACCATTTGAATCAGCGACTCTAGTAAATTAGGTTGCTTTTTGCTTTGTGGGTGGGAATCATCCAATCTGTTGAGAGTCTGGATAGAACAAAAAGGTGGAGAAAATGAGTATTTGCCCTTTCAGCCTGACTGCTTGAGCTTGAACATGTCTCTTCTTTCTCTGAGGTTCTGGTTCTCAGACTTTCAGACTTCGACTCTATACTAATGACTGTAGCTATCAGGCCACTGAACTGTGTACCACTGGCTTTCCCTACATCTCCAGTTTTCAGACTGCAGATCATGGATTTGTTAGACTCTATGATTGTGCAAACCAATACCTTGACATACCTATGTGTATCTGTGTCTAACTTCTATATGTATGTGTGAATATATACATATATAAAACATGTATGTTATATAAAAACATGTATGTATAAAAGGCTATTGTTGGCTTTTTGTTCTTCTTTTAACCCACCTCCCCCTCATTATCTAAGAATAAAGCATTAGATTTTTGACCGATTATTTTGAGATGTTTACCAGACATCCAGAGGAATACTGACTAATTAAAGTGTTGATATAAGATTTCATAGAAAAAGTCAGGTGTCTAGGCTAGAGATATAATTTTAGGTAAAATCCACAAAGCCATAAAATGGATGTAGCCATTATGGAAGAGAATATAGGCAGAGATGTGAAATACTCAGACAGCTATGCAGAAAACATAAGGATAGGATAAGTTTCCACAAAGAAACAGAAAAATTTACCAGAGAAAAAGGAGAAAATCCAAAAGAATGATGTTTTAGAGGTCATTTGAAGAATGTTTCAAGATGGAGGAGTGATCAATCAAGTCAAATATCACTGAGGAGTAAAAGAAAATAAAGGTTGAGAATTAACAACAGAATTAACAACGTAGAGCAATTTGTGACTTTGACAGAACAACCCGATTGCTGCTGGGGCAAGAGAGAAGGGAGGAAATAAAATGAGAAAGTGATGTAAGCAGAAAAACAAAGTGGCAGTTGGAGAGGTGGTGGGATCAAGGGAAATTTTAATGTTTAAGATGTAAAATGTTGTAGCATGTTGTGGGTTGATGGAAATTAACCTATAGAGAAGGATAATTTGATGATGAAGGACAATTGTTGGAACATTACTGAGACATTCATGAGAGGTTGCCCTGGGAACACAAGAACCCAATCACAGTTGCAACTCTTAAAAGTTCTAATGGGTGACAGGGACACTATACACTGAATACTGCTAAACCCAGGATAAATCCCAGTAATAATAGTTAATGAAGTTGAGCATGGAAATTTTTACAGTGGAACTGCACTTCTGCTTGTCAAAAAGACAACTGAACAGCTGAATGAGCAACACGAAGAAACTACAGCAGTTAAAAACTTGTGTAGTAACCCATGAAAGGTTAGTGTAACATTGACTTTCAGAAGTGAGATTTGTTTACTGAAAAATTAGTGTGCAAAATTGTAATTATTACCTCTCCCAGATTCTCATTTTTTTCTATAGAAGATAAACATTTACTTTGCACTCATGTTGGTGTTCTACTAATTATACTTCATGATTGTTTAAAATTTATTCCTTGTATCTTAGCTCTATAAGTAGGACCTAGTTTTGCAAACACAGGGAAATTGTATGCTTTTTTTTTTACTTTTTCATTTTCAGAAAATAATGTATGTTATAGTGGAAATATATCTGAAATGGGAATCAGGGCACTGTGTTTCTTGCCCCAGCTTTGCCACTAAGTCACTGGGAATTGCTTTCCTCTCAGGAAAATGAAGTAGTTGGTCCAAAGGACATATAAAGCTGCTTCTGGATTCAAGTAATGAAATCGTAATAACAATCTGAATAATTCAGAAATTCACAGCTGATGCTCTTTATTTTTATATGCCCATAATATTCTATGTCAAGTTAAGTCACATTTATATTGTTGAGAAGTTACCAATCACCCATGCATTAATATCTTACAGGCTTATTGTGAAGATTAAAAGGGAAAATGTGAAATAAATCCACAAGCTAGAAAGTGAAATACTGTCTGTCATTAATAACATGTAGGCACTGAAATATTATATTTATTACTGTTATCCAGATTCTGCTTTTACTTGGATAGTTTTTGGGACATCAAATAAAATAGTTATTCAAGGGATGCAAATGGGTAAGTAGACAGTTTTACTTGAAGAAAACCTATAATTGCCTTTTTAAAACTTTTTTTTATTGAAAAATAGGCTTAAGCTACTTCAGGTCTTAAAAAAAGCCTTTGAAAAGGTATTGTGATAAGTATAAGGCATATATATTAACTAGGTCTCAAATATTCAGTCTGAATCGGAGAAGCATAGAAAGAAACATTGTCAGGTTTTATAAAATGTGCAGTAGTATTTATAAACCAAAACAAAAGCTAAGTAAACTGAAACTTGGAATTAATTAATGTTAAAATTTTAAGTTTAAATCAACAATCTTAATTCCAATGATTGTCAGAGTTATATTTTTGCTTCCTTCCAAAGTTATTATTTTTTATAAATTTGTTATGTAATTTTCTTTATATACATTCATATATTCATTTGTAGGATAAAAATTTAATACTGAGCATATACCTGGTAATTTGTATATTTTTGTTTTTTCTGTATTTTTTTGTATTTTGGAATGAATATGCTACAACACAAATAATAGCAATGATCATTCATTTTAGATTAGTATAGCACACAATTTATTTCAGAGTAGCTTCACAATTATCTCACTTTATCCTAACAATGACAGTTATTGTAGTATGAGCTGGTAAATCTCTCTGGGCAGTAGTTTTCTTCCATGTAAAATATGGATGATATAAAAGGTCTTTGAAAAATTCATGGAAAAAACATATTATGAAAAATCTATGAATGAATTGCAAAAATATTTGCAGTTTTTAGCTCTTGTTCACACTCCTGTGAAACAGTGGTATTTCTATTTTTACTTGTTCAACGTTATGGTTAGTGGTGCATTAAGCCTGTAATTATGAAGTAAATTGAAATAATGTTATTGCAGAAATTAAATGAAAAAAAGGAAGAAAGAGGGAGAAATTCATGGGAAGGGAAAAGGGAGGAGGGGAAATATAGTTATCTTCTAAGAATTATATGTATGACATACATGAAATCATGGCCGTCGCCACGGCTCACTAGGCTAATCCTCTGCCTTGTGGTGCTGGCACCCTGGGTTCTAGTCCCGGTCGGGGCGCCGGATTCTGTCCCGGTTGCTCCTCTTCCAGTCCAGCTCTCTGCTGTGGCCAGGGAGTGCAGTGGAGTATGGCCCAAGTGCTTGGAACACCTTTCTCTCTGTCTGTCTCTCACTGTTCATCACTCTGCCTGCCAAAAAAAAAAAAAATACATGAAATCTGTTGTTTTTATATTAATTAAAATTATAAAAAAGCTTATTTTTTATTCCATTTTCAATGAATTGTTTGTTCCTAGAATTATATGTGAATATTGATTGAGTTAATCTATGTAAAACATTTAGGGCAGTGCCTGACATATAGTAAGCACCCAATAAATGCTTATTATTACTGTAATAATTATTATTACCCTTATCCTCTATTTTTTTTGAAATGCAGAGTGGTGGACAGTGAGAGAGAGAGACAGAGAGAAAGGTCTTCCTTTTTCCATTGGGTCACCCCACAATGGCCGTTTCGGCCAGCGTGCTGTGGCCGGCACACCGCACTGATCCGAAGCCAGGAGCCAGGTACTTCTCCTGGGCTCCCATGTGGGTGCAGGGCCCAAGGACTTGGGCCATCCTCCACTGCACTCCCAGGCCACAGCAGAAAGCTGGACTGGAAGAGGGGCAACCGGGACAGAATCTGGCACCCCGACTGGGACTAGAACCTGGGGTGCCGGTGCCACGGGTGGAGGATTAGCCAAGTGAGCCGTGGCACTGGCCCCATTATCCTCTATCAGTGGTTTAGAGAATATAAATACATTAAGTCCTATTGCCATTTTGCAGTTTTCCCAATGATTCATCAATCTTAAGTATTACAAATTGAATGTCTGAAAGTTTCTAGCAATAATATAAATGAGTAAAACATTTTTGGGGGCCGGTGCCATACATTGTCATGTGGTTTCCAGAGCCGTCCAATCACAGCCTGTTGCCAGGCAATTTCCTTTGCCAGCAGCCATCTTGGCATGGTCTTCTCATTCCACCACATATATACACCACATTTTCTTTATCTGTTTATCTGATGATGGATGCATTGGTTGATTCCTTATTTTGGCTACTGTGTTGCTATAAACATAATGGAACAGGTATCTATTCACCTTTTGGCTTTCACCTTTTGGCTGTACACCCAATAGTGAGATTGCTGGATCATGTTGCAGTCCTTTTCTAGTTTTTAAAGAAATCTCCATATTGTTTCCTACAGTGGCTGCACAAATTTACATTCCGATCAGTAGTGTATAAGAGTTCCCCTTTAGTAAGCCACATCCTTGCCAGTGCTTTTTACTGTCTATCATTCTAATAATAGTTATTCTGACATGGGAGATGTATAGCTCACTATGATTTTGCGTTTCCCCAATGGCTAGTGATACTGAACATTTTTTCATGTATTTGTTGGCCATTTGTATTTCTTCCTTTGGGAACTGTCTATTCACATCCTTCCCCTATTTCTTAACTGGATGGGTTGTTTTAAATGGTTGTGTTACTTTGAGTTGCTGATATACTCTGGATTATTAATCCTTTGTTGGATAAATAGCTTGCAAATATTTTCTCCCATTCTGTTGCATTTCTCTTCACTCTGTTGTTTCCTTTACTGGGCAGAAGCTTCTGAGTTTGATATGTTCCCATCTGTCTAGTTTTGCTTTTGTTACCTGTACTTTGTGGGGGGAGGGTTTCATCCAAGAATTCATCACCAACATCATTGTCTTAAAGTGTTCTACCATGCTTTATTTTAATAGTTTCACAGTTTCATGTTTTGTATTTAGGTCTTTGATCTATCTTTATTTGATCTTTGTATATAGTGAAAGATAGGAATCTATTTTAATTCATCTATACATTCAGGTTTGCCAGCACCATTTATTTAAAAACTGTCCTTTCTCCAGTGTATATTCTTGGCACCTTTACCAATCAACACACACATGGATTAATTTTTAGCTCTCTGTTCTCTACCATTCATCTATGTGCCAATTTTATGCCAGTTACCATGCTATTTTAATTATTATAGCTTTGCAGTATGCTTAGAAATCAGGTATTGTTATGCCTCCAACTTGACTCTTTTTCCCCTCAAGATGGCTTTGGCTATTTGGGTCTTTTGTACCTTCATATGAATTTTAGGATTTTTTTTTTCTAATCTATAAAGAATGTTGTGGGTATTTTAATAAGAATGGCGTTTAACATGTAGATTGCTTTTGGTAGCATAGACATTTTATTGATATTAATTCTTCCAATCCACGGGCAAGGAATATCTCCATTTTTTGTATCCTTAATGATAACTTTCAATAATGTCTTATAATTATCTTTGTAGAAACTTTCACTTCTTTTGTTAAATTTATTGCTAAATACTTGATTTTTAAACAGATCTATTTGTTTATTTGAAAGTCAGAATTAAGAGAGGTCTTCATTCATTGATTCACTACCCAATGGCCAGGGTTGGGCCAGGCTGAACCTATGAGCCAGGAGATCGATTTGTTTCTCCCATGTGGGTGGTAGGGGCCCAAACACTTGGGCCATCTTCTGCTGTTTTCCCGGGCCATTAACAGGGAGTTGGATCTGAAGCAGAGCAATTGGGGCATGAACCAGAAGTACCCATGTGGGATGCTGGCATTTCAGGTGGTGGCTTTACCCACTAAGCTACATCATTAGCATCCTAAATATTTGATTTTTATTATAGATATTGCAAATGGAACTTCTTTTTCTGATTTCACTTTCAGTAAGATCGTTGTTGATACGTAAAAATTCTGTTCTTTGTATGCTGATTTTGTATCCTTTAACTTTACTGAATTGGTTTATCATTCCTAACATCTTTTTAGTGGAATGTTTAGGAATTTCCTCATATAACATCATGCCATCTGCAAGCATGGGTATTTTGAATTCTTTCTTTCGAGTTTCAATGCCCTTTATTTTTTTCTCTTCCTTGATTGCTCTTGCTAATGCTTCCAGTACTGTATTGAGTAAGAATGGTGAAAGTGCACATCCTTGTCTTGTTCCAGATCTGAAAGAATGGGCTTTCAACCTTTCCTCATTCAGTATGATATTGACTGTTGGTTTTTCCAATATAGCCTCTATGTTTTTAGGTACTTTCCTTCTATATCTAACTTCTGGGGGTTTATCATGAAAGGATGTTGAATCTTAAAAAAATTTTTTTCTTCATCTATGGGGTTGACCATATAGTTTTTATTTTTCATTCTGTTGGTGGGATTCATGCTATTTATTGATTTGCAGATGTTGAACCACTCCTGCATCAATGGGATAAATCCCACTTGATCTTGATGTATGACATTTTTGATATAGTGTTAGATTCTATTTGCTAATATTTTGTTGAGAATTTTTGTACTTATGTTCTTTAAGGGTGTTAGTCTTTAGTTTTCTTTTTGTGCTATATCTTTGATTTTGGTGTCAGAGTTGTCAGAGTCCCATCCTTAAAAGTATTTCAAATAGTTTGAAATAATATTGGAAGTAGTTCTATTTTTAAATGTTTTGTATTATTCAGTAGTAAAGTTATCAGATCCTGGGATTTTCTTTTGTGGGAGACAATTACTACTTCAGTCATATCTTGGTATAGGTCTGTTTAAACTTTGTATATCTCTTTGATTTAATCTTGATATGTTTTATGTATCCTGGAATGCATCCATTTCTTTGAGATCATCTAATTTGTTAGTGTAAGTAATTTCTTATGATATTTTGTATTTCTGTAGTATCATGGTAATATCTCATTTTCATCTCTAATTTTATTTGAGTTCTTAATCTTTGTTTGGCTAAACGTATGTCTGTTTTGTTTATCTTCTCAAATAAAACCATCTTGTTGTTTTGTTGATCTTTGTATTATTTTTTAATATATAATTTCATTTATTTCTGCTCTGACTCTTATTATTTCTCACCTCCTGATAATTTTGGGTTTTGTTTGTTGCTGTTTTACTAAGTATTTGAAATATATCATTAGGTTGTTTATTTGTGATCTTTTTTTTTTAAATGTAAGCACTT